GCGACCCGCGCCGGAGCTGGCAAGGGCCGCTGCGAGCCGCGCCGGAGCAAGGCGGGCAAGGGCGCCGCGACCCGCGCCGGGGCAAGGCGGGCAAGGGCGGCCGCGACCCTCGCCGGAGCAAGCCGCGCAAGGGCCGCCGCAAGCCGAGCCCAGGACCGCCGGGAGCCGCGCGCCATGGCCGGGAGGGCGCAGCTCCTCTCGAGCTTGAGCACGGGAGGGACCCGATTGCTTTTTTTTTAAGTCTGCAGGGACCGGATTGCTTTTTTTCAAATTGTACAGGGACCTGATTGCTTTATTGATTTTTTTATTAAATTATGACAAAGAGACACCGATATGTGGGCCTCACATGTCAGTTAACAGTCAAACAAACGGTCAGACAATCAGTTTTCTTACATGCGGGCCCCAATTGTCATAACCATGATCAACGGTAAAGCACTGGATGATTAGAGTTTTTTGAAACAGCGGACCCCTGAGTTGGTAGTTATCAGCGAAAAAAAATATTTGGTAGTTTTTTGGAACTATAGCCTGTAAAGTAGTAGTTTTATGCTATTTACTCATTTTTCTTGTTATTTTAATTTTACATCAAATTTCATATTTCTATCGGTATCCATTTTTACTTTCCTTTGGTTTGTGTTTATTTTTTATATTTAGATAAACTTTTGCAGTATATGAAACATATAGTCACACCTATATTAACTTTACCTAAAATTCATGTTATTAAAAAAATACATACAAAATAATACATTCATATATTTTTTTTGTATGCATGAACATGTATGAACTTTTTTTAATACATGATGAATATTTTATTTTCAGATACAAACAATTATATGCTCATGCAAGGCCTTTTTTCGCAATGTTTTAAATAATAATCAAAGTTATTTTAACTATATTATAAAACATGTTCCTAAACATATGTGCACCAGGGCATGGACATGGCATTTCGTGCGCAAACACGACAATGATGTTCTACAACAGCGTGAGGGGAGGGGAACCACGGATTTGTGTGCTTGGTAGTGTCTCCAAGTTCATTGTTGGCTTGTCGTAGTGAAGTTTAGGCAGTGGCGGCAATGTGAATAGTGGTTCCTCAGTTGTCCCCATGTCGATGTCCTTCCTCTCAATGACCTCAACGAGTCAAACTGTCAAAGGATGGTGTCGATCATCGGGCATTCAGTCTAGCGTGGTTAGTGTTTCTGAATCTTACGTGTTTTAGTTCTCTACTAGTTCCTCTCCGCCCAACTCCATATGAGGTTCCGTGAGGGAACTTTTGAGATTTGTGTCACCCTCCTTTGTCCAGCGGTATCTTCTTGCCCTCCAATGTGCCAGCTTCTCCGGGATGGCGATCTATACAGACCATTGTATCTAGCTTCTTCTTATCTGCAAGACTTCCCAACCGCTGCTTCTACAAGCTCTTGAGTTCCAACAAGCGCCGCCCATGGATGCAGAAGGATTTGCTTGTAATTTCAAATTCTTAACAGGAAGGTCTTGTAATGGCTAGTTTTGTTTAATATATGGCCTTGGGCCTTACCGTGAAAATAAACTGACATCAACCCAGTGTACATGGCCTAGCTATATTTCGACATACCACATACGTGAAGCATATTTATGGCGTCCATCCATTATCCTCTTTGCAAACATGAAAAACAGACAAATCCTTGGGAGTTACAACCTCTGTAACAAAATGTAGGACGTTTTATTGAAGTCAACTACACCAAAAAACGTCTTATATTTCGTTACAGAGTGAGTAGAAGATAACAGATGAAACAGAGTGATTCCACTATGGCCGACCAACACCCATTATTTGAGCCAATCTGAACTTAAAGTACACTTGACACTCGTTGGCTCCGTCTTATGCATAACTTGTCCCGCCAAATTTGTCCCCCCAAATTTTGTCTCAAGTTTAATTAACCCCATGGTGCGTATTGTTAAGGAGTTATGATGGTTTATTACGCACAAAATCTTCGCCTCTGCATAAACAAATTAAGAAGCAGTAAAATGGTGAGGCAGGCAATGCAGTGATAAGCCAATCCAAGCAAAAAGAGAGGGAAGCAGTTGATCTTACGTGCAGCTTTGACAAGATAACTTCCTCTACTGAGTCTGCAATTTCTAGTTGCTTCATCACAGTAGCCTGCAGAACCTGATTAATGGAAGGGGATATTTTTTTTCATATTACATTTGAGATTGGCGGGAAGATATATTTGGTAATTCCCTATATGGAAATAAAGATAATTTCCAAAGGATGCATGATGATTGTGCCAGTTATTGGTACTAAGTAATAAAGATAAAGCTTACTTTCTTTGTCCTTTCGAGGTCAGATTCGATACATTTGATCCTATCCCATGAATCCAGGAGGGAGCGTTCTTTCTCCAGGGGAATCTCCGGGGGCTTGCTGCCGAGCTCATCAACCCGACCCTCGAGCTTCTGAAGGCGCTCAATGACAGGACTGACAAGGTCCACACTGAACGCTTCAACTGCTGGATGATCACCAGAGATGGGTTCAAACTCAGGAGCTGGAGGTAGTGGGTTGTTGACCATCGTTGTCTCTGGCTGACTGCATACTGTGCGTAAGAAGGTAAAAATTCTAACAACCAGAACCAGCAGTAATCTGAGAAAACGATAGAATTTCCCTTCCTCCGGAATCTCTTTGGGTGCTAGTATACCACGACTGTTTCTTGAAGAACCTAAAAAGAGTAAAAAAATAATATGAACAAACATGAGGAAATCTTGAATATTTATTTTCAAAATTCTTAGTTCATTGCACTATCTGTTCATTTTGATACTAATAGTAATATACTCCCTCCGTTCCTAAATATAGGTCTTTCTAGAGATTTCAACAAGTGACTACATACGGAGCAAAATGACTGAATCTACATTCTAAAATATGTCTATATACATCCGTATGTGATAGTCCATTTGAAAGCTCTAAAAAGACTTATATTTAGGAACGGAGGGAGTATTCAGTAGGAATTAGCAAAAAATAGCAGATCACTTTATATCTGCATAAAGTGACCTCAGAAGACCACAAGTATACATACCTGGAGTGTTTTGTGTTTCTAAAGGCTGGGCTTGTACTCTCACTTGTGGGGCACTGCTTTTATCTGGCATTGATCCTCCTCTGCCATAATCGACTGTTTTGTCCACCACCACAAAGTGATCATCGCAACTGTAGTAAGCCGCAGACTCTCGTGCTCTCATCTGCATCTGTGTAAAACATAGGAGATTCAGAATTTTGAGGTAAAAATTTAGGAGATTCAGTATACACACATCAATCATTTGTATATTCAGTATATTCAGGAGGAAAGCTCACTTCTTCACGAACTGGAGCGAGTCGACTGCACCCCAATGTGCTTCTCATCATAGGAGAACCTAGATCATCAACATCTGATCCTGACTCAGCTGTTGACGTGTCACTGTTTCTACCCTGTTATTCGCAATGAGAGAAAGAAAAGGCAAATTGTTAAGGATGCTAAGATGAACATTGCTGATGAAACCACAAAGGGTTCCAATTTTTAATAGGCACAATCAATACACATTACTTTTTCTTTTTTGTGCAAACTCAATATCAGTACTGCAAAGAAGTGCATGGGTTATGATTAAGTTAACTGTAAGGATAGGTAATCACGCCAACATGTGGCATGTACCCTATAATCAGCTTCTTAAAACCAATAGGTCCAGAGAACTGGTAAGTTGCTAATAATGTTTACACCAAAACAAAAGGTTTCAATCATATGATGAGTAAGTAAATAACAAATAGTGGTTCGACGTACTGAACTTGCCTTCAAAAGATGTAGCCTAGCAAATGAACCCCTTCGTTGCTCGATCTCAGATAAGCGTCTTGTATGCCTTACAAACTTTGCTTCTTTGTTATGTGCAACCTACAAGCAAACACATAGTACTGCAGTTGGGAATCCTGTTGTTTATCATGTATGAAAGGCGTGATGCTGAAATTGTGAGGAAAACAAAACTTTGCAAGAAATTTAACGCAAGCATATCAGGAGTTTCAAATTTAGTGGTATATTCAGCTGGACCGGACACCGTGAATTGCGTGCAGTAATATCCTTTTAAAGAAGAAAGGCCAATTCACAAACTTGCCCAGCAGTTGGGAAGTACATCGCCTTGAAGTATGCCCAATACAAAGCTATTTTTGGCATTTCATATATTTACCGCTACAAAGCTATTTATGGGATTTCATACATTTATGATAATCTTTGTCAACATGGCATTGTCAAGTTCTTAATATTCAAAAACTCAACTGAAAATCTAAGTTTCCGGAAAAGCAACAAAGGAGAAGCACATATAACGCCAGAGTAAATAAACCAAATTCACCTTCATAATGTTAGGATCATTCCATGGACCTTTGTTAGACTTGAGGCATCCTCCCTCACCAGCACATGTGCATGTTCCACCCAAAAATTCAGGAAGTTGGCTGCAAATAGAAAAAAGAAGTGTTCAGTCCATGTACCAGGAGAAAGCTTTATGATCAATAACATTATACTAAATTGTTAAATGAGAAGTGCACCTTCCATCTATTACTTCAAGAAGCTTGCTTTGGAATTTTGTTCCCAAAACCTAAATTTGAGGATTCATCAGAATTATTTATTTGAAAAGAGGAAAATAAAAGCAAACTCGTGCTCACATGTATCTTTGAGACCGTTTTAGGGTCAAGAAAACCTTTCACTGAATTCCATAGTAGCTTGAAACCACCGCCAGCATTTACAACAAACATCTGATGCAGTGTCTGAGCATACATGTAAAGTGTTAAACAATGTGGCACCAAGTATTGATCAAGATAAGAAACAAAACGTAGGCATACCTCAGGATAATAATCACTGTCTATTTTTTGCATTCTAGTTAGCATTTCCCTTGCTGTCTTGCTGAAGTTCTTGAAACCCTGCAGCATAACAGAGTGGCGAATGTTAGCATGCAGTCTTTATGCGAACTATTTTGGGTCCCAAAATAAAAGTTGACAAAGTTAGTCTTCTACGTAGAGTTAAGATCCTGCGAATATGGAAAGAACCATCATACCACGCCTTCAACATCTAGTATAGTGGTTGTAGAATCAATATGCCTTTTCGCTGCGATAGAGCATGCTGGAAACTTGTCCAAGAAGGCTCTCTCAAACTCTTGCACATGATACTTGATGTAGCGGTCAACTGTGGTGATGTTCATCAGTTTATTTGGGTCAACTTTCCCTAATCTCTCGATGTATACTGGCCTTCCTTGCCTGTCAACTCCATGGTAACCCTGAGGATAATAGGAAAGCACCTCGTCTAGCTCTTCAAAATCGAAGTCCTACAGGGTTCAGTTGCAAGATGGCAAGTGTTAGTTATATTGTTGAGAAGAGGGTACAGATCTAGTTATAGATTAAAGATAAATTTTCTATCTTTAGGCCAACATGCATCATTAGTCTCACTCACCTCGAGTATTGTATCCGCACCGAATTCTTTTCTCCATTGGAGCATCTCAGCCCACATAAGAATGGCTTTCTCAGTGTCAAATTTCCTTGCCTTCAAAAACCTAGAGTATATATAAAGGCAGGGAAATTTTAGACTTGTAGCATAATTAAAACAGGTAATTCTCTGTCCTGCTTCGGCAGCTCTTTCTCTGCTGCTGAGTTATGTTGGAGCACCAACCTCAGCAACATGTGATAGTCATTTTGCTTGTCACATAGCAAGTTCCTGCTCAAAAGCTCTTGCTGAAATGTAAACACGGCACGCTCCTCCTCCTCATCTCTGACGTCTTCAATGGTGAAGGAAGAAGCCCGATGCTCCACCTTCCTCTTCCCCCGCTTCTTGAGCGAATGTGTGAGCTTGCTTGATGCATTCAGCGCTTTCTTCTTAAGTGACCCGCCAATGGACAGCCTTCTCCTCTCATCCTCTGAGTTCTCCACGTCTGACCTCCGGTCTTTTCGCTCATCGAATAAGAACAGACCCTCCGTGCTCTCCGACCGTCGCCGCACTTCATGCAAGACACGTCATTACAAATTAGTAAACAGATCAGCAATGCAAGACAATATGCATACTTTCTTTTTCTAAGAAAGACTATACCTGACATTTTGCTGGAAGCAGAGTAGACTGAGTTTACAGGTTGGGTGGCTTCTGTTAGGCAATTATTATATTATATTGTCATCTTCATCCACACAAATGCATCTGGAATGGAGTAGACATCGAGCAGAGTATCATGAGAATATATGCCTGTCAGACTTTAGAGTACACAAGAACACTATCTAAATTTCTTTGCATAAATGTATCATGAGAACATATGAGTGCTTGTCAGACTTTAGAGTACACAACAACGCTATCTAAATTTCCTTTGCATAAAGGTACCATGAGAATATATGCCTGTCAGACTTTAGAGTACACAACAATGCTATCTAAATTTTCTTTGCATAAAGGCCTTCTTTGGCATGAAATTAATGTTCTTGGTAGAACATGAACTGCCTTTGTTCAGACGTTACTAACAGGAAAATGAAACTTTCACCATTAATGTGAAAGGAATCGGTCGGTAGATTGATGGTTACAGGTTGCACTACTAGTACTACTATACAGATTAAAGAAGCATAAAAATGGCTTGCAAAGGGGAGAAAGAATCATCAAAATGTGTGCACATGTCTGTCAGGTTACAGGAAGGAGCTGCGGTCAACAAGCAGCTTTTGACCAGAGTTAATCACTGAAATTGCTCAGCGCAAATTAAACCATTCACATTTAGCCATGTGAGTACTTATTACTCCATTGACTACGTTTTTAACAAGTAATTTTTGTTTGAGAAGTAAAAAATCCGTAGCAAAATCGACTGAATTTTTGTGATGAGGTAAACAACTTGCCAGTGAACCACCTAAACAAATTCTATGTTGTAAACTGCACAAAGATATATTTAGAGATGGCCACCCTGCCTTTGGCCAAACCGAAGGAAGAAGAAAACTGCAGCAAGATTTGCATGGAAGCCCCAACAAAACGAATAGCTGCTCTGCTCTGAACTTGGATGCAGGGGATCCACTAATCAACAGCAGAACAATCCTCCACGGACTGAACAATCGACGTCTAAAGGTAGCACAAATCATAGCTAAACTCTTGTGGCGCCCAAGAGGTTGGGAGGAAAAAACAGGAACTGAATCAAATTGGATTCATCCGACAGCTCTCAGAGTCGGGACTCGAGAGACAGACGACAGACAGACAGATTCAGTTCTACGCCGTCAGAGGGAACATAAAAACAGGAAGGCCCGCATGGCGGATGAAAATCAAATTAGGAAACAACCCGCATTGGTTCTCTTGTCACGCTTTGGACCGCAAACTGCTCGCCAAATTCCCGCGATTATGCTCCCCGATTGACGGAGCTTGGAAACATAGCGCGTGCGGAGGATTTCATTCCATTTTCAGAGAGAGAGAGAGAGAGAGAGAGAAGACCATGGCGACAAACAGAGTCTGTGGCAACCAAGAAGAAGGATCGCCTCACCTTGGGGGCGGAACCAAGGGCCGAATCCCGGTTCTTGGACCGCAGCGGCAACCGAGGAATCTGCGATGCCTGCGTCCCCGCGCGCGCGCAGACAAAACCGAGGAGGAGGAGCTCGAATGATTGGGAGAAGGTGGAGGGGGAGGAGGAGAGGCAGACAGGTTGGTAGCTGTGGGATGTTCGCTTCTAACCAACCTGCTGACTGGCGGGGTTGATAGAGACGCTCAACCGGAGAAGAGAAGCTTCTTGCTTTCGCCGTATAAAACTATGCAGTACTAGTAGGAGCTAATGTAATTTCTTCTTGGTCGCCAAGTGGTGTGGTGTGGTGTGGTGCCTGTCTACACATTCATTCGTCGACGCGGGCCAGGGCGGACCGGCTTTAGCTTAAAGTGCCGACCCCGGAATAAAGCCTTTGATTTGATGGTGGGGCGCTTTCGCTTTGCTGGCGTGCTGCCCTCTTTCCCCTCGGATGCCGCACCGTGTCTTCCATTTTTCAATTCCCTCTCCGTAATAAACACGCCTTTGGATAGATAGTAGCAGACTTTTAGCGTTGGGTTTATCAAAAATGAGTTTTTCGCCGATCTTTAACACACACAAAAAAACGGGAAACGGTTTTGCCGCTTTTCATGTGAATAATCAGGTTATACAAAATTATGTTTGGCTTAAAATAAAATGCAGACCAGTCTATCCTATTCCTTGTTTTCTAGGGGTGCGGCAAAAGCCTGGTGCTACATGTAGTTCCTATTCACGTTATGTTTGGCTAAAGTGCCGACCATGGAACCACGGTTCCTATTCCCCGTGACCTCTCATGCTACATACTAGTTGCTGTTCAAATTATGCCTGGTTAAAGTGCAGACCAGCTGACATTGGTGTATTTGTATGGCGAAAAGTCGGTTAGGGATTTCATGCCTCTCGTCGACGCCGGCGCTGGTCTGCTTCGTCTCCTATGGCCTTAGGGTCATGGAGGCGCGGTGGACCGTGGCCCTTGTCGGCGGGAGGGCTCCTGCTCCTTTTTTAGTGACAATTTTCAGCTCAGTTAGTGATTATGTGAGGTAGCGGTGGCTCCATGATGATATAATAAACCCCTCAGACTCAGCCCTCATCCTGTTGGTGCATCTAGAGTTCTCGGATAGCGTGTGGAGTCGTGTCTCTGACTGATCTCACGGGATTCGGTCGGCGCTGGCGTTCGGTGGATCTGTTTGGATCCAGTCTTTGTTCATGTGGCGTCAAGTAGGACCTTTCTTATCTGAACTACTCTTATCGACGACGGTTGTTGCTCTGATACATTGGTCCTTCAAGGCTTTAGTACCACGACTTTCCGCATGTCTACTAAACAAGGTTTGCCCGGAACCAGCAAGAGAGGGGCCATGATGGTCGAGCGTCTTTGGCTTGTTCCAGTGCTTGTAGTCGTCACTAGACGGTCTACGAAGTTGGTTGTAATTTCTATTAGTTTTGGCGTTCTTTGTACTGGCATAACAGATGATGAATGGATTGATGCTGGATCCATGGTTCCTATTCCCCGTGACTTCTCATGTCACAAAAAAATTAGGCCACCGGCTAAATCGATCGAACGAATCTCGAGAGACCATCTTCCATCAATCGCACCCAAAGACTATGGCCGTCCAATCCTCCTCCTTGAGAAGCAATGATCATGTATGGATCCAACTGAGATTTTGTGATGTGATACTCATGAGATCACCGCATCGCGAGGTAGCGGGAGTTGATGGAGGCTTCACTGAGACCCCTAATAGGAAGTGTGGAAGGAGGTGGTCGCCCACCCCGATATGTGCGCCGACCAACGAGGACGCATGTCGGTGTAGAAAACTGGCAGATCCCAGCATAGAGTTTCTCATGGGACGAAGCGTGCATAAAGGATCCGAATAGGTACACACTGGACAAGGCTTACCAAGGTTCAAGTCCTCGTGGTGAGGTAATACCCTATATCATGCATGTCCTTGTATTGATGTGCCTCATACAAGGGAAACATATGTTAGATGCTGTCTTGGGTGGCTCATTCCCCCCCTTACATTGGTGAATGAGGGGTACAGTTACACGGGCCCAAGTCGGTCTACATGACTTGTTGCCAAGTTATTCTACTAATACATCTCTCTCGGAATACAAGTGGTTGGCGCCGTCTTGAGGCCGGACTTCTGGGATGCCTCGTGACTTGGGAGGCCTCACTTCTTGGAAGCCCCATGGCTGGGAGGGGCCTAGGCCGTAGGTAGACCTTGAGACCACAAGGACTTGAACCTAGGTAAATCTAACACGTATTAAACATGAACAGTACATAATTATTACATAGTTCATCAATCCGCAATATGAAATTAAACACAAATAATACATACTTATTACATAGCTCATCAGTCCGGAAACCCACGACTATCTTGTTAGAATTTCGTCAAACATGTTGCGCGCGCCGAGCTCACTTTCCGCCGTGAGAGGAAGATAACAAGAGAAGGAGGCAACATGTTGAGGGAGGGCAAGGGAAATGCAAGGCTCGTCAACCACCGCAAACTCATAGTGGTTGCGACAATCGCTGCCGACCTCGTGTATGCCTCTTGTCTCCAAATCAACCACGACCAGAGCGACACGGAGGCAGAGCACCTCCTGACTCGACAGAGGTGCCGCTACCTCAGAAGAAATCGAGGCGTGGTGCGGGGAAATTGTAGGCAGCGCCGAGGGTTGTGGTAGGTTGACGCTTGCCGGAAGAGCGTCAGGAGGGAGGTGGAGGCAGGGGAGGGTCACCAGAGGCCCTACAGCAGAGTCTAGCCTCCAGAACATGGTGGGGACGTTGACGGGAGGTCGGGGGGTTGGGAGGGGCGGTGGTTCGCGCAGGGCCAGTTGGCCCTTCCCGCCATAATTTGGGTAGAATGGGGGGAGATACCTTTTTGGGGTCTTTGGGAGTGAAAAAAGCAAGAACTTGTTCTATTTTGAGTATACAGCTGAAGCTTGTTTTGGGGCTAAATACCCACACTTTCAGTTTTTGGGTATCTCGTGATACACATCGGTCGCCTGATCTTTTTAAAAGATCAACTGGTCACGGGCCGTCCGATTTACACGCACGCGCGCGCGCACACACACACACACTGGTTACAACATGATTCTTATTGCAGAAACATCTTGCAACAAGAGCTCTGTTGCAAAAAAAGCATCCGCAACTCCTACAATAAGAGTCTTATTGCAAGAAAAAACATCTTTGACCCACAGTATGTCCGTCGCCATTGCAACAAGAGTCGTGTTGCAATTGCAACATGACCCATGTTACGATCTCTACGCTTTCTCTCTCCATGCGGGCATGCGCATAACCGCCAGCACAATCGATCATCTCCTTGGCCTTGCGCGCCCACATCTGTTCCCCTCACCGCCATCGGCCAAGGGAAAATCATTTTGGGGGACGACGCTCAACTGAACAAAGGGAAAATCAATTTGGGGGAAAGGCATTTCGGTTGTAGGTCCACAATACACCCTACGTCACGCTCAGCTATTTGAAACATGGCCAATGTTGCAAAACATGTGTGTGAAGGGGAGGGTGTTGTGCACCGCACGATCAAGCGTTGATCGGACGGCCGTGGAGGCGGTCGGCACGCACGAACGATCAGTCGGTT